TTGGAAACTTTAACTCTGCTGTCGACTTTGGAAAAAGTTTTCCCAATTTACTATGTTGAGTTGGCATTGTACAGAAATGGACAGCCATATTGGTCTAGAAATGTTAATTTTTTTTCCATTTGTACAGGGGTAATGCACTGTATTAAATATGTAAGGTCATATCTACATGGGTTTGATTACAGAAACTAATAAAGTATTTTCTAAATAATGAAAAAAAAAGAACAACATAAGACTATAAGAACAAGAAGCAATTTAAATATGTTCAGGGACCATTTTCATCTTCAGAATTAAGGATTATTTTAATCTTACATCATTGCCTTTTCTCTTTTACTTTCCTTTTTAGTTTTATTTTAGGATTCCCTATTTTTTTTCTTTTTATTGAGTTTATTGGTACAATCTAAGTACACAATACCATTACATTCATTATTGGAATCCTGTACCTTTACATGATAGGTCTTGATTCTCATTTTTTCCCCTTGTCCCTGCCCTCCCTTCACCCCCTCCTCCCCTCCCATTTACAAACACTTCATTTCCATTTTTTCACTTTCTCATATTTTTTTCCTCTCCCTTATTACCTTTCCCCCACCCTTCCCACTTTCCCTACACCTTTAACCCTTTACTTCCTATTTCACATGATTAATTATCTCATTAGGATCCTGTGTACTATTATAGTTTTTCACACCAGAGAAATTATTTGGTATTTCATTACTGCAGATTTTTTTAAGATACAGCCTGATTTAGAATGACCTCTGATTCTCAAATCTTGGCCAAGATTGTTAAACCAAACTCTTTGAGTGTAGGGATCTGCATTTTAAGAAACTCTCCCACACCTCTTATACCCAGTAAACCTGGAGAATTATTCTATGAAGCATCTGTGTCAGGCTTGAAACTCCATCTCATCTTTCTAGCATGTTTGCCATTCTTCTCAAGAGGAAAGCCCTTACAATAGGAAAAGATATTAAAAGTTCCAGTTGACAGAATATTTACCATTTTCCAGGTTCCATGCTAAGCAATAACTCAGGAAGTAACAACTTACAAATTCTGTGGATGAAGAAGCAGAGACTAAAAGATTAAGTAACTTGACTAAGGTTGATTGAAGAGTGGTGAAATAGCACTCAAAGGCAGCCTTCTCTGAATTAAAAAATCAGAGCCTTCACTTCAAAGTCAGTGGGGGCCAGGGATTTAGCTGAGTGGTTCCACCACCTGCCTTACAAGTGGGAATCCAAGTTCGATCCCCAGTACCAAAAAAGGGTGGGGGTGGGGGAATTTGGCTCAATGGTTCTGCCACGTGCCTTGCAAGCATAAGGGCCCAAGTTCTATCCCTGGTACCAAAACAGAACAAAGTCAGTGGTTTTCAGCCTTGAGCAGAAAGAGCCTCAGAATCCATGGAAGGCTTCTTTAAACAGATTCCCAGTGTCTAATTTACTGGGTCTCAGATGGGCCCTGAGATTTTGCATATCTAAGAGTTCCCAGGTGATATTGATACTTTGGGCCCTGGGACACCACTTTGAGAACCATTGCTATAAACTATTGAATCTCTCATTGTTCTTTTGTGTAAACTCAGCAAACATAAGACAAGTTTTGCTCCAACAGCCATTTCTATATGCAACCACGCTAAGAGCAGACACCAAATGAATTATGTGACTGCCTGCAATGAATCTTAAGTTGATCCAATTATTACTTTGATGGTGCACACAAAACTTCAGTCACAGAGTGTAAGACCCTCGAACTCACCTATCAGAGGGACATTTTCTGAGGCTGGCATAATCTCTGCTACCATTAACTGAAAAACAGTCATGGCCAACAGGATGGTCACACCCAGGGAGACCTTCTCCCCAGAGGCTGCTGGGAGATAAAAACTCAAAGGAGCTAGGAAAGATATGAGGACACAAGGGATGAGGAGGTTGACAATGTAAAACGAGGACCTCCTCTTCAGAAGGAGAGTGAAGGTGACGTCTGGGTAAGGCTCAGAGCAACAGCCATAGGAGATAACATTCTTCACAGCAGGCATGCCATGGACCTCCCATTCCACATCCTCGATGAAGTCAGAGAGATCGCCACTGTCCAGAGCATTGAATATATCCACCTGATTGCCATTGTAGGTCCAGGAACCGAAGGTCAGGTTGCACTGCTGGCTATCAAAGGGGAAGTAAGTGACATCCACCACACAGGAGCTTTTGGTGATGGCTGGTGCATCCCATGTGATGAGCCCATCATAACGCAGGACTACATTGGTGTTCATAGACTCTGAAGACTCATCATCAGCCCTGGAAGTCAGAGGAGGACAATAACAGTTGCTTATTAGAATACCTCACAGGTGGACCAGAGCAGCATGGCTGCAGTCAGATACAGCCAGGATCCCACCCTGACCCCAGCAGCTCAGACCTACAGGCCCAGCCAAAGTCCCATCCAGAAAAGAGCTGCACAGGTGCACAAGCAATAGCCAGAGGCTAATACCATTGGTAAGTGCATGCAAATCTCAGTGAGCAGAGGTATTGACCAGAGTGGCATGGCTTCAGGCAGGTCCAGCTAGGACCCCACCCTGACCCCAGCCACTTGGGCACACAGGCCCAAGCCAAATCCCCATCTGGAAAAGAGCTTCAGAGGCACAAAATCATCAGCCAGAGGCCCATCACAATACTATCAGCAAGTGCACATAGATCCCAGGGAGCAGCAGTGTGGACCAGAGTGGCACAGCTTCAGGCAGGTCCAGCCAGGGCCCTGCCCCAACCCCAGCCACTTAGGCACAAAAGCCCAAACCAAAAGCACAACAGGAAAAGAGCTGCACAGGTGCACAAGCAACAGACAGAGGCTCACCCTGATACCATCAATAAGTGTGTGGAGAACCTAGCCAGAAGCCTGCTCAAACATCAGGGACTGGAGTACACAGCCCCTAGCCAGACGCATGCCTAGATACCATCCCAAGTGTGCACATGCCCAAGCCAGAAGCCTGCCCAGACAACAGGTCAGCTCAGGAACCCAGAAGGCAACCATTCTGAACTCAGGAATTACTGCACTGGTGAGCAGCAGAGAAAAGGCCACTCAGTGGTTTGCTGAGAACTGAAGACTACTGAATGAGCAAAAAGTTGCCTCAGTAAAGGCACAGCAGGCTGCATATGTTGAAATAAGAATACATATAAACAAGTCTCAAAAACAGACTTCCAGATCACCTAAGGCAAACCCAAAGGGTAACAAGATAGAACAATCTAATACTCAACCACCTGGACTCCCTGAACTGGCAGTGAAAGAGGATCTTGAAAAAATGAAATCAGAAATAATTCTCAGGTGACAACAGAGATTGTGCCTATAGTACAAGACATGATTAATAAATCTAGAGTAGACACAGATTAAAAAAATAGAGAAGCTGAGAAACATGATGGAATCCCAACATAGGAAAAAAAAATGGAATCCATAAAATAGATGCAAACAGATTTTCAGGAAATAAAACTCCATTGAAAATTTGCATAGCAGAATGAACCAATGTGAGAACAGAATTTCATATATAGAAGATAGGATTGCAATTAGTGGCCAGGAAAAAATTTCTTAAAAATAGTATGGGACAATGAGAAATCAAACCAGCAGCTGCTAGATGATGCAAAGAAGAATAACATAACACAGAATGGAGTCAGTGAAGAAACAGAAGAGAGAGCAGATGACATTAAAAAAAAAAACTTTACACAAAAGTAATGGCAGAAAACATCCCAAGTAGGGGAAAAAACATGACATATGGATAAATGAGGTGTATAGAACTCCAGCTAGCCATGATTTTTAAAAAATCTACACCTAGGTATATAATAGTTAAGATTGCAGAAACGCAACAGAAGAAAAAAAATTCTACAAGCAGTTAGAGAAAAGAAACAAATCACATACAAAGGAAAGCCCATCAGAATAACAGCAGACTTCTCAATACAATCCCTCAAGGCAACAAGAGCTTAGAGTGACATATTTTAAGCTCTAAAGGAAAACAACCTCCAACCCAGATTGATGTATCCTTCAAAACTATCTGCCAAATTTGATGAAGAAATAAGATACTTTTATGACAAAGAGCACCTGAAGAATTTCATGAGTAACAAACCAGCAGTCCAAAAAATTTTAAAAACATCCTAGGAAAAGACAATAAGGATCACAATCCCAGGAAGTGAAACAGAATGAATCCATCAAGTATGACAAAAACTTAAATGCAAAGGAGGAGAATCCAACAAAAACAAAAAGTCATGACAAAGATATGTCAATACATACCAGTTATAATGAACAATGTTAATGGTCTCAGTTCACCAATCAAAAAAAATAGAGCAGCATAATGAGTCAAGAAGCAAGATCCAACAATATGCTGCATACAAGAAACACATTTAATTCAAAAAGAAACTCATAGACTGAAAGTTAAAGGGTAGAAAGCAATACATATGACAGGGACCCCAAAAAAGCAAGAATAGCTATCCTCTTTGAAGATCAAATGGATTTCAAGCCAACACTGATTTAGAGATAAAGAACACTGCATTCTTTTAAAGGGAACAATCCAAGAGGAAGAGACAACAACCATAAATATATATGCACCAAACACTACTGCACCCAACTATATAAAACAAATACTAACGAACATGAAAAATCAAATAAGCACTAATAAAATAGTAGTAGGAGACCTCAATACCCCACTGTCATAAATAGGTAGATCAACTAGACCAAAAATTAAAAATGAAATACTAGAACTCAAACTCTTGAACAAATGAACTTACAGATGTTTATAGAGTGCTCCACCCCACAAAATCAGAATATACATTCTTTTCAGCTGCACATGGGTCATTCTCCAAAATAGACCACATACTCACTCATAGACTATGTTTAAGTGCAAAGGAACTTAAGTTATCCTCTGTGTATTATCAGACCATCAGACCACAGTGCAATGGAATTGGAGATAAATAGCACAGAAAACCACAAGAATGTCATAAACACATGGAAACTGAACAACACACTTCTGAATAACCAATGGGTCACAGAGGAAATTGAAGAAGAAATCAGATGGTTTCTACAATTAAATGACAATACCAATACAACATATCAGAATCTATGGAACACAATGAAAGCGGTCTTACAAGAGAAATTCATGGCACTGACTACTCAAATTAGGAAAAGAGAGCAAGCTCAATTAAATAACCTGATGCTGAACATCAAGCTTCTAGAAAAAGTTGAGCAGGACAAACCCAAAGTTCATACAAGGAAGGAAATTATAAAGATCAGAGCAGAAATCTATGCCATGAAGACTAAGAGGGCATCACAAAAAATCAGTGAAGCAAAGAGTTGGTTCTTCAAAAGAATAAACAAAATTGACAAATCCTTAGCCAACCTTATCAAAAAAGGAAAGAAAAGACCCAAATTCATGCAATTAGGAATTAAAAGGGTGAAATTACAATGGACCCTCAGGAAATCCAAAGATTAATACCTACTTCAAGAAACTATACTCTAATAATATAGAAAACATGGAAGAGATGGAGAGATTCCTAGATATGTATGAATTACCAAAGTTAAACAGAGAAGAACTAAAAATTCTAAACAACCCAATATCAATCAATGAAATTAAAAACAATTTAAAACTTACCAAATAAGAAATGCCCAGGCCCTGATGGCTTCACTGTTAAAATCTACAAGACATTTAGAGAGGTACTATTGCTAGTACTGCTTAAACTCTTCAGTGAAATTGAAAGGGAAGCAATACTCTCAAATTCATTCCTGGAAGCAAGCATCAATCACCTTGATCCCAAAAGCAGAGAAAAACCCAACTGAAAAAGAGACATATAGGACAATCTCACTAAAGAATATAGATGCAAAAATCCTTAATAAGATACTGGCAAATAGAATGCAGAAGATCATCAAGAAGATCATACACCCTGACCAAGTAAGATTGATCCCAGAGATTCAGGGATGGTTCAACATACATAAATAAATAAATGTAACACACTATATTAATAGAGCCAAGGACAAAAACCATATGATCATCTCAATAGATGCAGAAAAAGTATTTAACAAAATCCAACACACATTGATGATAAAAACACTCCAAAAAATTGGAATAGACGGTCGCTACCTCAATGTGATAAAAGCCATCTATGAAAAGCCAACAGCAAATATCATATTAAATGGTCAAAACCTGAAATCCTTCACACTAAAACAGGAACAAGACAAGGATGTCCACTGTCATCACTCCAGTTCAATATAGTTTTGGAAACATTAGCCATAGCAATTAGAGGAGAGAAAGAAAAAAAAAAGTAAAGATAGGAAACAAAGAAGTTAAATTGTCATTATTTGCAGATGACATGATACTTTATATAGAAGACCCCCAAAACTCCACCAAGTCTTCTAGACTTAATAACCAAGTTCAGAAAAGCAGCTGGATACAAGGTCAACACACAAAAATCAATAGCTCTCTTGTACATGAACAACAGATTCACTGAAAGAGAAATGGGTCAAACAATTCCTTTCACAATAGCATAAAAAAAAATTGAGATACCTAGGAATCAACCTAATGAAAGAAATCAAACGCTGAAAACTACAGCACTCTGAAAAAAGAAATCAAAGATGATATCAGAAAATGGAAATGAAGAACCAACACAGTGAAAATGGCCATACTTCCAAAAGTGCCATACAGATTCAATGCAATCCCAATTGCAATTCCAGCAGTATACTTCACAGACCTTGAGAAAACAATCCAAAAATACATTTGGGACAAGAAGAGATCTAGAATAGCAAAAACAATTCTAGGCAACAAAGACAAGGCAGGGGGCATCCCAATCCCCAATTTGAAACTATAATACAAAGCTACTGTGATAAATATACCATGGTACTGGCAAAAAAAAAAAAAAAAGACCCAAAGATCAGTGGAACAGATTAGAAGATGCAGAAACATCTCCTGACATACTCAGCTACCTCATCTTTGACAAAGGAACTAAACACCCTCACTGGAGGAAAGATAGCCTCTATAATAAATGCTCTTGGAAAAACTGGGTTTCAATTTTCCAAAGATTAATACTAGACCTATATCTCTCATCATGCACTAAAATAAAATCAAAATAGATTAAAGATCAAAATATTGAAACAGAAACACTAAACCAGCTGGAAGAGAGGTTAGGTAGAACTCTTGAAGACATTGGTGTAGGAAAGATTTTATGAACAAAACCTCGGTTGCAATGTGAACTAGTACAAACAATCAACAAATGGGATCTTTTTTTTTATAAAAAGCTTCTGAAATGGGATCTTTTTTTTTATAAAAAGCTTCTGCACAGCAAGATAAAGCACCAACAGCATGAAGGGACAACCCACAATGTGGGAAAAATTTTTACCATCTGTTCCTCAGACAAAGGTCTACTATCTAAAATATATAAAGAATTTTAAAATATCACACCTCCCAAATTTAAAGGCCCAATCCAAAAATGGGCATCTGAAATGCATAGACATTTCTCAGACAAAGAAGTAGAAATAGCAAATAAACATATGAAAAATTGTTCAACATCACTGGTCATTCCAGAGATGCAGATGAAAACAACACTGAGATTCCACCTCACTCCAGAAAGAATGGCTGCTATCAAGAAATCAACCAATAACAAATGCTGGTAGGACTGTGGGGAAGAAAGAACACTGCTCCATTGCTGGTGGGAGTATGGACTGGTGCAACCACTGTGGAAATCAGTATGGAGATACCTCAAAGGATTAGGATTAAAAATCTCATTTGATCCAGCTATTCCCCTGCTGGGTATTTTCCCAAAAGAATTAAAAGAATCATACCACAAAGATATATGTGCACTCATGTTCATAGCAGTGTGTAATAGCTAAAACTTGGAAACAGCCCAATTGTTCATCAGCTGGAGACTGGATAACGAAAACATATTTTTTAAAATAAAGTGGAGTACTATTCAGCCATAAAGAATGAGAAATTAGAGACATTAATAGCTAAATGGATGCACATTGGGTCAATACTCTTAAGTGAAATAATTAGGGCACACATGTAAATATCCAATCAAATTTTTCTCTTGTGTAAGAAACTGAAAGTGTAAATAACCAAAGGTATAATAGATAATGTGAAATAGGAAGAAAAGTGGCAAAGGGGAAGTAGGAGGGGATGGCGAAAGGAAAGAAGGGAGTGGAATTAATCTGAGAAAATTTTTAAAAAGGAAACCAAGTCTTTGTAAATAGGGAGGGGTGGAGGGGTTGAAGGGAGGGCAGGGGAATGGGGAAAAAAATAAGAACCAAGATAGATTATGTAAAGGTGCAAATTCCCAATGATGAATGTCATTATATTGTATACCTAGCATATACCAATAAAATTAATTTTAAAAGATCTCTTGGAAAAGACCTCACAGACTTCCCTACCCCACAGAGCTCACTGCCCTGAACCCCTCTTGTCAGTGTGTTTAGCAGTGTGTTATGGTTCTCCCTGGCATTCTGGCTTGACCGCTCAGAAGCACCTGTCCCTCACCCCGGACTCTCCATCTCCTGTAGGGAGTCAGGGCCAGGTTCTCCTGCATTCTTCCTTTAAAGTATCTCTGCTCAGGTTCCTTCCCGTCCATTCCTAGGGCCAGCTCCTCAGTCCAGGTCTAATGACTCATACAGCCAACGAAAGGTAAACCTGCCAACACGAAAATTTGCTTATCTGGTTTTGTCCACTTAGGGAACTGGAATATTAAAAATAGCTTTTGCTGCTGTTGTAAGAGTTGTCCAATAGTAGTTGGAACATTTGGAAAGTACAGAGGGGAAAAATCCATTTGTGTGTAATCTTTGAGATAATCACTGCTTCTTGCTTGGAAGGTTTATGTAAGATTGCTCTGGTCACTCTGAGTGGAGAGCAGACAGTGGGCTCTAGGCTGTGATTCAAGAGATCTCAGCATCCGGTCCTGCACTGCGTACTGAGTGAGGCTAAAGTCCAGGCTTCCCCGCAAGGGCTGCTTCCTTAAGGGAAATCCATGCCCACCAGCAGGCTCCACTCAGGGGAGCCCCTGGGCTGCCCCTCATTTACATTGTTCTGGGCTTCAGAGGAATCTGTCCCAACCCTCAGGAACTTGGGTTCCAGAATAAAGAGGGGCGGGGGCGGGGAGATGGGGTGGGTAGGCAGGGAACAGACTTCTCTCAACAACAGGTGGGGAAACGGAGCTTGAATTGTGATGGAGAGCTGGTTCCTCTCTCAGTGCAGCCCAGGAGCCAGCAGTACTTCTAGCTTCTAGAGCTTATAGAAAGACAGAACCACAGGCCCACCTCAGACTTACTGGATCTGAATCTGTATCTTAATAAGATCCCTAGGTGATTTGTGTGCACCTCACAGTGTGGGAAGCATAAGCCTTACACACCCATTTACACAAGGCCCCTTTCTCCACAAGAAGCAAAGAGCAATAGTCCATTTCAGCCTCCACCACCCCTAGAGGCTAGAACCCAGAGATCAGCTCTGGACAGCCACTTCCCATTTAATTTTAGTAGCATCACTGTTACTGCTACATGACCTTGAATAGTGAGTGCCACTCTTGTGGGCTCAATGGTATCCCCAGAAAATTCATTTTCTGGAGTGCTGGTCCACCAGCACCTCAGAATGTGACGTTATTAAAGATTAGGGTCATTGTAGGCATAATGAGCTAAGGCAAAGTCATGCTGGAGTCAGGAGGCACCTAAGTTAGTAATTGATGTTCTCCTTATACAACAGGGCAATTGGACACAGGAAGCCCAGAGGGGGAACTCTGTAAAGTTATAGACATAGGTCAGGGTGCTGCTCTGAACCATTCAAGGAACACCAGGAGCTAGGAAACAAGTTCCACCTCCTCATAACCCTCAGAAGGAACTGATTCCACCAACATTTTTCTTTTCTTTTCTTCAGTACTAGGGATTGAACCCAGGGCCTTTGCACATCTCTAGCCCTGGTTTTGTTTGTTTGTTTGTTGTTTTTAAGACGAAGTCTCACCAACTTGCTAAACTGCCCAGGCTGGGCTCAAATTTGTAATCCTCCTGCCTCATCCTCCCAGAGCAATGGGATTATAGGTGAGTGCCACCACACCAGGCTCCCCGCAAACTTGTTAATTCCACACTTCAGCTCCAGAACTGCAAGGTGACAAGCTTCTGCTCTCTAAGTCACCCCGTCTGTCATACCCCATTATGGAAGCGCTAGCAAACTTCAAAAGGGATGATGTAGACTGAATCTGAAGGTCTCCTTAGAGCGCTAAGCTTTTATGACCTATTATTGTATTATCTGAGATTTCATGACCATTATCTCAGGGCCTAGGAGCATGAATTAATACTTCTCGCGTGTTTGACACATTTTTCTTGTGTTTGACTTCTATTAAATCAGCAGATCCCTCGCAGGAAGTGTTAGCTCCGAGGTGCACTTACTTGTTGTATAGGACGATGTCCGGCCTCCACACCAGGTCGCTGGGGATCCTGATGGAGTCCAGCCCGTCATACTGGTCTCGATCCCACGTGAGGTAGGCATCCTGCCAGATCTGGCGGATCCACAGATAGGCAGTCAGTATCTGGTTCCTTTCATCCTGCACAATGAATCAGATGTCAGTCTATCCAGCAGACTCTTGGGCCAGTTGCCTTCTGTATTCAGGGCTCCTGTTCTTCACTAAGGGAATTTCAAAACACTCCTCTATTTTCCATTAAGAAATGAGAGCTTTTTTATTTCATCCTCTTGGTTGACTACCAAAGCCACATGTTTTTTCCTCCCTTAATTTAGTGTTTAGAAGTAAAGTAAGCAAATACTGAAGTCTTCAGGTCTTTGCCTAGGTCAACTGCTCAATTTTCTCTGAAAATGGATGGACTAATGGCACAGTTGACTGAGGAAATTGGGAAACATCTTCCATGTACAGATGAGAAGTCTCCCAAGCTTGATTACTTTGTGTAATCAAACATATATATACTCAATGAACTATACCAACTTAAAGTATCATTTTTCCCTCTTAAATTAAGATTAAATTGACATAACATAAACACTACCATTTTAACCATTTTGGAAGTGGACAGTTCAGTGGTTCCTGTACATTCACAACATTGTGCAAGCATCACCACCTAATTCAAGAACATTTTCCTTGCCGTGTCATACTGTCTACCGAGATGTTCCCTTTTAAAGGTCTCATGGGATTCTAGGTGGGACCTTCAGAAGAGGACTCGATCACGGGGTATGTAGCTGAGGAGCTGGGGCCTGGGCAGAAGAGGGGGCACCTCTGGGGTAGCCAAAAGGTTATACTGCCCTTCCCAGCTCCTCCCTGATTCTCTGTGTCCTGGCTGCCATGACACAAGCAGCTTTTCCTGCACTGTGCCCCCTGCCACGCAGGTCCGTCTTGGAGCCAGCTGGCCATGGATTGTAACCAGTAGCCAAAAAAAAAACCACCAAACAAACAACAAAAAAAACTCTCCTTTAAACGGTATCAGGCATTGCATCTCAAGAAAGTGACTAAGACAGCATCCCAGAAGAAGCCCCTAACCATTAAGTAGTCACTGACCACTTCCTTTTTCCTCCCCCCGCCATGGGCAACAATGATTCTGCTTTCTGTCTCAATGGATTTACCTATTTTGGACATTTCATATAAATGGAACCAAACAAAATGTAACCGCACCTTTCTTTAGCTTATCTAAGGCTATTACAGTTCATGCCCAGAACTGTAGGTCACAGTGACATTAGTGAACAGTACATAACACACAGTGAGATTAGTTTTGTAAAAAAGACTCCTTCCCCTGGATTCTTTTTGCCCACCACCTTGTACACGGGGCTGCCTGTTTCTTCTCGGGTTTCCCTTCAGGATGTGCCCTTCAGGAGGCATGCTTGTGTCATTCTAAGATCTTTTTCAAGGTCTCCCCACTCTGTGTTACTCACCATATCCTTAATCTGAGACAGTGTGATCTGCAACGTGACATTCAGGACTTTATCTGTATCTTCAACTGGACGAAGAGCATTGGAATAATCTTCAAAAAGGTCATTAAACAACTTCTGAGCGTATTTTCCATTTGCCGTTTCCACAGCTACTCAAAAGGAGAGACCCAGATCAACATTCAGAGTGTTGTGTGTATTTCAAGCAAAGAACAGCATTCTGAGGTCTAGAACAGGGGATGGCCCAACTGGACTAGGGGCACATTTTGGATGGGTGGATGAGATGTTTTCCTGGCATGTGCTATGCAGATTAGCAAGAGTCAGGCAGATGCACAAACCCTTACCTGCACTTAGATCAGCTCTTCAGACTTTCCTGGCCCACCCCGTTTCCCACCAAAGAAATGACCCCACTCACCACTAACTTCTCACCTCTCAGTCTGGAAGCAGCAAAATAAATCCAGCAAAAGGAGAAGCAGGTATGGGCCCAGTTCATTTTTCTCCTGAGCCCCTAGGGTGTCACAGCCAGGCAGTGTGGTCTTCTCTGTGAATGGGAAGGGTCCCTGCCCAGCAGCCTGTGCTGCACGGTCTTACCAGGGCTGACAGAGTAAGCAGGTTTGCACTGTATGTGGGACCCAGAGCCTGACATCTAGAACCACCCGCCCTCCTCTCTGTAATCTGAGATGGCAGCTCCAATAGCTGAGATGCCCAGAGCCCAGGGTGTGCCAGGCACTGCTGCTCTGGGGGGAGCCATGCCAGTGGAGGGCCAGTGCTCCTCCTCCATCAGGAGCATCCATCCAGACCAGAGAAGAGAAGGGAGGAGCAGGCATCAAGCACATGCCTGCCTCCCCAGGGGTGCAGCCATCCAGAGAGGCCGGCCAGCCACTAGCAGCAGGTGAGGGGGGGGGGAGAAAGAGCTCCATGATCTCTAGGGTAGTTTGGCACATGACTTTCTTCACTGCTCTGCTTCTGATCACTGCAGTTGTACCACTGGGCACCAGTCATGCAGAGCACATGTGTGTGAGTATGAGGGGCCTGCTGGGTGGGTTCCAAGTCCTTTCTCAGTCTTGCTATTCCCTAAAGACACAGCAACACTGTGAATGCATTTGGAATCCACCCCCTGGGTTTGACCATCATGCCAAACCCTCCGAGTACCTTCGTTCCGGGTGAGTCTCCTTCCCAAGCTGCCCCACAGCGACCTGTGCACTATAGGAGGACTCACACTGTACACTGGACAGCATTATGCACGTGCTATTGACTTTGCAGGTCACCTTTGTGGATCCAGAATTTCCACATTTACCAAGCCAGTCGGGGTTTATCAGATCTTTAAAAATTGATTGAAAGGCTAGTGAATCAGCATGAAAATGAGGCCTAACCAGTGGTATCACTAAGGATGCTGTCCCTTTGATTTGAAGACTATGATATATAACTTCAGAGTCATCTCTTATAGGCGATCTAATTTGCTCCCAGAAGAATGCCAATATCCAATTGCTAATGGGTATGGAAACTCACATCTGTCCCTCCTCTTGCCTGGGAAAACTGCCATGGATACCAAATTAACATAATGCGGTTGCCTAGAGTCAGAGTGAAGGAATTGGATAGCTCTGTCTCCTCAGGTTCCAGCCATCCGATGAGTCACCCCATCCCTCCTCAGGAGCTCGTCCTCCGTGTGGAGCTGACACCCGAGCCAGCAGTGAAGTGGATTTCTTAATTGCCTTTTCCCTCACACTCAGTGCGAAGACTCTATTTTCCTCCTAACCCCGCCTGACTCACTGATCTGAGGGCCCAGGCTCAGACTCCCTTCCACTCTCCCTGCTCTGCAACCTGTGAGGCGGAGAGTACTTTTGCAGCAGAGTTAACGCCTCATCCTCTCATGAGGAAACTGAGGCTCAGTAGTGGGCGGCCAGTGACAGGGTCCACCGATCCACCACACCCACCACACTAACGGTCCCGTCCTCCTTCTCGGAGTCTTTTGTCAGCACAGCACCGGGTGCCCGTGAGGGTGTGACTTCCTTTCAGGCTGAGACTCTCTGCCTTGTGCTTTTGTCCCTGTATCACTCAGAGCGGCCCCTGGCACCGGTGCCCACCGCTGCTGGCTGCTGTGCTTACCCGCGGCCCTTGGGGTCAGCGCCTTGGTGGTCCTCATCACTCTCCATTAACTGAGTTCAATCAGTCCGTTTTCCTTTATATCTTTTTTAAAGAAAGAAATAAGATACCTTCATTTTTTCCATGTGAATTTTATTTTTAAAATTAATTTTATTGGTACACTTTTGATTCGTTTTGCTGGTACACATTCACCAGAGGGAATTCGTACCTGTGTGTAATATATGTTGAGCCTTCCTTTTCCCCATTCCCTCCCCTCCCTTCAACCCTTCTTTCTCTCCTTTGCAAAAGCTTTGTTTCCATTTTTCCCTCAATTCTGTTTTTTTCTTTTTCCCTTCCTTTTCTCCCCCACCCTTGTTCCCCTTCCCATTAGAACACTTTCTTCCTACTTCCCTATCTATATCTGTCATCCACTTTGGTCCTTATCTGTGCTTTCAGTCTCTCACACAAGAGAAACAATGTAGTATTTAAACGTGTGTCTCATTTATTTCACTTAAAATGTGGTCTTAAGGAGCATGCATTTGGGTAAAAACGTCTCTAGTTTACCCTTTGTTATGGCAGAGTAGTACATTTTCAGCCAGGCATGGTGGCGCATGCCTGTAATCCCAGCACTCAGGAGGCTGAGGCAGGAGGATCACTGTGAGTTTGAGACCAACCTGGGCTACATAGTGAGTTCCAGGTCAGTCTCAACTATACAGTCAGACTCTGTCTCAAA